ACCCCTTCATAGTTACCCTGCAACTTACAGAGGTCTTCAGAACAAGAATTTTTCAGCTTTACATGGTTGATGTCACCTCAACATCTTTAGGCCTCTATCACTGGAATGTGACTTATGGCTTAAGAGAAATTGCCAGCTGTGTATATATTTTCCATTAATCTCTGGATTTTTTAGTCTCTGAATTTCTTTAAAGACTCAGCAGGAGAGAATAGAGTAAACCACTTGCACTCTTCCCTCTTGTAGAGAAAAGGCACAGAGATTCCCTGAGATTTTTGTCTTGTGTTCTGTGGAAGCTAAAGAGAATTCAAGTGAAGACTTCCTAAAGATGGTATGCTTATCTCACGTTTAGTTCTGAGACCTGTTCAGCACTGTTCCAAGAAAGTTGTTTAGTTATTGAAAGCCCTTTAGGGTTTTTCTTTGCCAGAATCTGTAGACCTCTTCATTTCTTCTCTTTATTTCACCTCTAAAAGTATGCATGAAGTCTAATCTGGGGGAAAGACCATTGTTTCTGGGCAGAGAAAAGAGAAGCACACAACTAGAAAAGAATCATAAAAGCTCACTGGCTGTGAGTAAAGCTTTTACTAAAGCAGTTCTCCACAGACATTCATCCTTTATTCCTTGAAGTCATAGATAACATCTGGCTAAAAATTAATACAAAAGGAATTGATTTAGATTTCACTGTACAAATCACACTAGTGTCCTTTAAACAAAACAGTGTGACCCTTCAGCATGTCATGTTCAGCTTTGCTTCAAGAAAACTGGCCCTCACTGTAATCATCCTAATGGTTTAAATGGCTTTATTATTGGAGACTTTTGTACTCTGATGAATGACATCTATTTTTCTAGGTGTCACTGACAGTATTCAATGTGAAGTAGGTTTTTGGAAGAATATTTCCACTAAATACAGATAGTGAAAAATCAACTAAAGTGATTCTCACACTTTTCAAAAGAACCAGATCCTTTTGCCTTGTCTATCGTTTCTATCCTCTGAGTTCAAAGGTTGCCAAAAAATGAGGGCATGTTAACTGTTATATTCACATCCTACTTGTAAAAAGTGAAATGTTGCCAGCACTTTTAAGTTGGTATCAACTCTATTGCTAAAGCAAATATTGTGACCGCTGATTACAGGCAGAGTCATTGTCTTATGTTCCCGTGAGGCAGACCCAAGTTTGTGATCTTCACATTGTAAAAAGATGTGGCATTTGATGCACAGTCATTTCTTGAATGTGTATAATCTGGCTTATATGTGATCCTACTCATGTAACCATACAGAATCTCATTCTCAGATATTTATTCCTCTTCTTGTTTTGCAGAGTCTGTGAATCACCCCTGCCTTGAAGCCATACCCCTAGCTTGTAGATGCAAAGTGTTGGAGAATACGCATGGAATACCTCATACCCTGAAGGTAAAATATAGCTTTTTAAAAAAGTTATATATTTTTTAAAATTTCACACTATCAGAAATTGTGTCAGGGACTTTAATTTCAGCAGATGTTTTTGAAAATTGGGGAAAAAACTGTTTCCTGTCTTCATATTGTGATGTTCTGAGTTAAAAAATCTTTTCTATGATTCAACTGCATACAAACAAATCTAGAGATTTCCATCTCTAGAAACACTCTTGCCTCTCCATATTTAAACATTGTAATAACCAAAAATAATTAAGTGTAAGTGGCTGTTTCAGTTCATGTGGCTCTTGGTTCCCCGTGAAACTGTAAGAATATAAGTGGCACAAACCCTGTCAAAATCATAGGTCAGAACCTGGCACTATGGTTTAATAGGTGTATGATCTTTAGTAGCATAATAGTTACAGACAAGTAGGAACTGAGTTACAGGTGAGTAAGCCAATGAATTTATAGCTGTTTCACAGATTCTCAAGAGGTAATGATTTGTCAAACTTTCTGTCTTTTGCTTGAAATACCGCAATAATTTGTTAGCAATGAGTACAGTTGGGAGAGTAGTTTTAAAGGAAATATTGCTGTAGTTTGACTGTGTTATAGGTAGGAAAGTAAGCTCTGCACTTGTGTGTACACTAAATTCAAATGCAACAAGCTAAAACCCAAAGCAGCTTAGTGGGTATTAGAGAATGACCTGAGGATGGCTTGCCAGTAAATTAAAGACAGCAATATATCCAGGTTGTGTAAAGCTTTGTCAAACTGTAGATTCTTTAAAGTCTTTTCTTCTAGCACAGAGGCAGAAAAGAAATGGTGAGAGATACAATAACCCTATCATTTTTAAATGACCACAACCTCAGTGCAGTCAGTATTGTATATCATCTTGTCGAGTACTTTTGAGTAATTTTCTCAGATGAAGCTCTATTTTTTTTATCACCACTCTTTAAATTCTGACTACATCTCTTACAACATTTATTTCACAGCTGAGTGAGTCTGTATGATTACATACTTTCATATTTCAGGAGCTATGAAATAATTGTCATGAATCTCTACCTTGACAGCCAAAGCCTGTCCTGATGCAGAAAGAAACTATGATCTTTCCCAAAGCATCTTTTTCAAGCCGTCTTCACTGAAGTCATGCACAACATTAAGACATAGCAGAAAATAACATGCTCATAAAAGAAAACAATTCCATCTTCATGCTTTAAAGCAGCTTATAGACAATGGCTATAACATTAACAGTGCTGAAAGCACTAATTATAGGGTTTTTATAGAAATAATAACAAAAATTTACATATGTATTCTTTGACACAAATGTGATATACCAACAAAATATAAACAGATACAAGCAGAGGCAATTTATAGCAAATGTTAATCCAAGTGTAGATGAAGAATTATCCTGAATACCAATCCCCTTGCCTAGCATGTACATATCTACACTGATTCACACTCTAAGCATGTAGATTTCTTAAGTCATCATATGATTACAATGCTCATTATTCGGTAGTGATTGCACTACCACATTTATTAGTCTCATACACTGTGTTCAGTGCTGTCAGTTCTATTTGGATCTTAACTACATTAGAGAACCACAGCAATGTTTTCTGAATGGACTTGGAGGGAAAAAAGTCAGATTACCTCAGATTGTCAGAATGCTTTCCTTTACACTGATGACTATCAGCAATGACAGCTAAATGTGAAATCTATTTGCATCACAAAGCCAAACAATCAATAAAGGGGAAAAACATGTGGAGTATTACTGAGATGATGAGCTAGATGAACACTTTAGATTATTAAGATTGCTCTTTATAATTTTAGACTTACACATAGATATATAGATCTGACATTACAAAACATATTCTTGAGCTAAGTGGCAGCCATACCATCCTGCTGTTTCCTACCCAATCTACAATCTGATTTCATGAGAAGGAGTCCTACATCATGAGAAAGGAGAGTTGTTAGGGTTCTCCTAGCAATGTTGTTATCTGTAAGGCTGCAGCTGCCTTGGCTGTGATCATGTCTCCACCCGCTGCTGCTGAGACACTAGCAGTGAACCCAGTGCACAGTAAGTCTTTGTGCCCTCCAGTACCTTGTAGTCACATCTGAACTGGCTTTAGGGTAGTTGCTTGGGTGCAAGTAACAATCTAGTCATGGTAATGTGAAGCTCAGGACAGCTGTGATGGCAGTGTAGTCAAGGGAGGTAAATTATTCATGCAGGGGTGTTATAATGAGAGATCTGTTTCTCATATCCTTAGAATGCATTCTCTAATCTCCCTACCATGATTTACATTTTCTGATATAAGTAAGTGGTAAACAGTAAAAGTATAGGGACAAGGAGTTTCTGTGAAAGAAAAAAGAATGAACAGCATCCTCTGAAAAGTAACTTGGTAGAAAGATTTGTGAGACAGCTTTTACTTTGCCCTGCACAATCCCTGATAATGCTTACATGGGCCAATTTGCAGAAAAGGCACACTACAAAGCAGTTTGGTCCTTCCTTAGCTATTTGAGTGTTTAAATAACAGGTAATGGCAGTGCCCATGCACCACTGTACCTTTTCACTCTTCTTTTATAGTTTGATTTCAAGAGAAAACACTCATCATCTCCTATTCCAAACCAGTTCTGGAATATATCCTTAAATTTCCAAACACTAAGGAGGAACAAAAAAATCTGACTTCCAGCAGCAGCTGCCTCTTGTTTCACCTCAAAGTAACAAGCAATTCAGAGGGTGAAGAAAAGGCCAACATTTATTTTTCTCAACACAGAACTCCCACTTCTAACAGTAGAAAAGAAAAAGGTAATGAAATGCCATCTTGTTATATATTCTGTCTGCTACCAATATCTTTATAAAATGCCCATAAATCTGTCTATAGTGCATTCTCCCATCAGCCACAAGTATATGTCCTGTGAGCCATTGAAGTAATTTAGGAAATATCCTGAATCACAAGTTTACAGCACACAGAGAACATAGCTATCAGACTGTAAAGTAAAAAAAATTGAAACTGTTTTGAATCTTCACCATCAAGAAATCAGTTGACTCTGTTTTATGGGAAGAAATAGGAACTTTCTCAATATTCCTCTTACCCAGAGTCTCACATATCTGTGATACATTGGGTGGCATTCCTGCTGTGAAACTCCCTCAGACAAGCTATATTGCAGCAGTAAATTCTAGATCTAGCCCACAACGTTGGAAAACATTCCTGAACAGATGGTTGCATTCAATAAAACATCAAAGTACCATCGTAAATAATGCTGTTGAATTTTTTTGCCAGTCATTTTGCAGTGCCACATTAAACATTTCCAGATGCAGCTGAAAGTGAAAGGGACAGAAACATTTGGCAGTGAACAGAGTGCCATAGGGCTGTTTTGACTGGTGAGGTAGAGACCAGAAATAGAAATGAGTATCTGAGTGGCACTTCTTGGGATGGTTTCTGACTTGTAAAGACCAGAATGGTCTGGGCAGTTGGAGGTCATCTGTTCTTTCCCTGCCTCTTCCACACTGCAAAGAATTTTGGTGTCTCACTCTTGCCTGCCCTGTTGACTTCTGTCTTTGTCTCTGAGTTTGGGGAAGAGACTTAAGGTGACATTTGCTCACCTTATTGAGTGTCTCCTTGTTTTTGAGTGAGCACTTTCTAATAGCATACCCTCAAGCAGTAGAAGAATGAAGTTTTCTCCAAAATCAGTCAAATTCTTGCAGGTCCAAACCAAGTATTCAAGTATTACTGAAGTGAAGAGTGATTGTGGAATTAGATGGCCTGGCCTGTAAGTCACAGGCTTCATATACTAAAAATAGAATAGATATCAGTACTTTGTGAATATATTCTATTTAAGGACAAAGGCAGCAATTAGAACAAAATTACCTAGCCAGCCAGGCAAGCAATTCACAGGCTTCAGTGACTTGCTGCTAAAGTCATGAAGTAATTCATTGCACTAAGCCCCAGAGAAATTCTGAAGAGAAAAAAAAAAAGTAAAACCTGTGCCTGGTTTTGTAGTATCCTGCTACTGAAAGAAAAGAATAGTTCTTTTACCCCTGAAAGTCCATTTTAGGAAGGAACACAGTTTTGAAATAATTCTGTGAGTTAAAGATTAGTATGTATCTCTACCAGATAATATCTCTTCCTCTTTATATTCTTGTAATGAGCACAGTACTGCATGGATTAAACATGCAAGCAATCTACCACTTGTAGAACTTCAAGCATAAAACACAAATCAGCAAATGCAAAACATAGTATTACTCCCTTGGAATTTTCTGAAGAAGATTTGAAATGTAAAACGACTTCCCATTAATATGCAAGTCGAAGGCAGTATTCTTTTCTTCCCTCTCTCCTTTGTCTCATGGCACTGAAAAAAATGTAGTCAGCTGGCAACATACAGCAGCATTCACAGCTCTATCGGATATTGTATCCATGACTGACATTTTCTTCACTGTCATCTCCAAAAAATGCAATTCAACTGCAGCCAGGCCTACAGCAGTCCCATGTCTGCCTGAGCTGGTTTCCAGTAGTTTCTGCATGGGATGTGGATTGTCATTATGTAACAGGCTCAAGCAAGGGTGAAACAACTGGTTTTTACAGAACAGGCCATGTGTGAGTCAATCTGAAAGGCAAGCCTAGGTCAAAAGCAGAGACTACGTGTGTCACTCTGCTACATGGCAGGGGATTCCCTAAAGCTCTGGACACTGAGTGGCCTGGAAGCTGTAGCTCCACAGTGACGCGGTTTGCCTGCTTTCCCTCTCACCAGAACTTCAGTGGGCTAAAGATACAGAACTGTGATAAGAAATGAGCAGGCAAATGAAAGAGAAGCATGGAAAAAAATGCAAAAAGTTTTTTTAGCATTCTGGCTGGATATCTCCAGGGGAAAAAAAACCAAACAAACAAAAAAAACAACCTCAAAATGACAGACGTAGGTATAAACAAGACTTTTTTTTTTCTTCTTTAGTCATGACACATTTTAATGAGATTTGAAATGAGCATAGGAAGACAGAGCAAGATAACAGGGTTATCTCCAACTCTGAATCTTCACAGTATTTATGATGCTAAATTTGCAGTCTATGCTGCCCACTTATATTTCCATAAAGTAGCATAATAAAAGAACAACTAGATAGTGGCAATTTTTCCTCTGAACCAGCCTTTCTGAAAAAATATATACAGTCCTCTGGGTTCTGATATCCTTTTTACCTCTGCAGAATAATGTCCCTTTTGTATTTTATCCCTTCTTTGTTCAAAGATAAAGAGAATGTATGTACATCCAGACTGCTACTCCCTTAAGTGATATGACTCATTCCCACAAGCATCTGTACCCCTTAAGGGACTGTCAGTGCCTTTTCCTCTTAACTCATTAATTTTACTTTTCTGTAATAAAGTAACTTTTCTCAATTGATATTCAGTCTCCTCTGTGTCCCTGCAGGCACCTCTTCCTCTTCAGGACTAAAGGTACAATGTGTTGAACTCTCCCCACAGTTGGCATGATGGAGGCACATATGTTCTAACATTCACTCCATCTTCTTGAAATATCATTTGTTTTGCAGACTGCAAATTGGGTCTAATGGCAGGCAGCAGTGTTTGTAACAGTAAGAAGTTTTAAATACTTCCTACTACCATCCAACTTACACCTGCTCCTGCTGTAGTATAGTTACAAACTGCCTAGCTATTTTCTAAAGGAATTTTTCCTTAAAGCTTTCAACTCTAGTGCATAAAATCATAGCTCTATGTTCATAAAATCATTTGACTTTTAAATAACTTTCCTCTGTGTTCGTGAGTTAATCTTAGGAGCAGCCTTTAAGACTGGAAGACCTGAAAAATTTATTTTTCCAATTCCATGATAGCATTAATAAATTAAAATAAAACCCCAAGAAACAAGAAGCCATAAAAAGGAGAGCATGCTCCTTTTCAAGACATTTTCTTTCTCTGCTACTCTCTCAAAGCCATTAACAATTAAGTTTTCTGGCCTTCCAATGAGAGGTCGAGTACATTAACAGCAGAAGAGCATTAAGTCTGTCTTGTTTGAAAAAAGCTGGTATATTGACAGAGTTTTACATTGGTATGAGTTGTTATCCCTAAATCTTTTCCATTTTTATCAAAAATTTCTGCTTTTTTACAGGTGAAGAACAAGATAATTAACACAAATATTAGTTGATTCAACAATAAATGGAGCTTGCAATCAATGACACGAGTACTTCCGAAGTTCCCTTGGCAGTTTCAGAAGAGGTGTAATGGTAGGTAATATTCTATTACTCGAAACATGACACAAATAATTTTAAGATTAATTTGAAACTTGAGTTCTCTAATCTCTGCTGAATGGGAAACATCCCATTTGCCTCACCAGTTCTTTAATCAGTATGCCTGTGCTTGCAGAGACTCATAAGACAACATAAAAGCAAGTAAAAGTTCCTATTTTAAGGAGTTTCTTTAGTGTTTCTGACACTTGTGAAACAAAGGGAGTACTAAATATTGATAATCACATCATTTCAAAGAGACATAGGGTAGGTTTTTTTATATATTACCTCAATCTAGAGAGTAGTGCAGTGGGCAGTGATTCTTTTCTATTGAAAGTCATTTAAAGGTTTAAAAAACTAAAGGTTCAGAAACCACATATAATAGCATGAATCATCCTAGCACAAGTTTAAAATACCCCTTTCTTTGAAATCACAGTTTTCATTAAAAAATAAGGCTATAAGCTACTTACTGAATATTATGGGTATGAAAAAAATGTAAACTGTGCTGATGGGATGTATCTGATTAATGAAAACTAGGTAAATGTAGACTAATAGTTTTGAGACTGTTAAGTGGCTGTGCATGTCAGTGCAATACAAGATCTGACGCCTTTTTAAATCAAGAGGTGAAAAAGAGCAAGGATCGGGAAGATTTGTACAACACAGCAGGAATACATAGTGATGAATTCATTCTGAATCCTTTTTCTTCTGCTGTGTAGCAAATGTGCACAGGAGTATTCTAAATGTCCTAAATGTCAGGACAAAACAGACCAAGAAAGTTTTTCAATATGTTCTGAATGTTGGTACCAGTGTTCTCTTTGGGCCTCTGCATGTAATACTGCCCCAAAATTACATCCCAGCCGGAACCTCTAAGACTAAAGTGAAATTCCAGTTCTGAGCTGCGAGTGTACCAGCCTAGTCCACACCTGGAGGTCTATGCTTCTCTTGCGTGGTCTTATTGAGATTATTTTTGTTAAGTAGTCGTATGGTCAGATTGAGGGTCTGCAAATGAGATGTCAAGGGTGAATGCTTTGATCCAGTTATTTGCATCTTCTTTGAAGGAACAGATACTATTCCCACTTTCTTAGCATCAGAAATGAAATGATTGTGTCAACATGTTATGACAGAGTCAGGCCCATTAGCATGCAATGTCCATCTGAGACATATTTGCTATCTGTTTTCCTCAGCTACAGCAGTAATGCCAGTCAGCGCTGCATCACGGAGCAGGTAACTCAGTGGGCAGAGTTTATTGTTTGGGGCCAGTTTAGAGGAGAAAAAGAGCTTCTTCAACACCAGATACACTTCATAATTATTCTAAGATGTATATACAGAACACATACACATATATATTACACATATAACACATATATACACATATATATAACACATATATACACACAACACATACACAGAATATCAGGTTAATGACAGTCTTTCAAGGTAAGAAGGATTGGATGTATTCCTTTTCTCTTATTACTTGATGACCTTATCAACAAGCACTTGGATATCATCTAATAGGTAGTTCAGATGGTGAATGAGGGAAGTTTGTGCAGATATTGCAATGGTTTGCAATTTTTTATTAATACTCAGAGACAGAAGCATGATCCCTAGAAAAAACTAAAAATGATATTTCTCAATCAAAGCTATATAAAGCAGGGTAGCTTGTAAGAGCAAAACAATGAAAATTAAATAAAATTTTAAAAAAAATTCAGAAAGCTTATCTGGCACAAAGTAATTCAGTCCCAGGTGTTCTTTTGCTTTAGAACCCAGAATAGAAAAGCTCACTGAAATTCATGATCAATAATCATTAGCTATCACACACTGAAACTCATGTTAAAAAACTAGACAAGGAGCTAAAATCCAGTGTTTAGTTTTTATTTTGCTATTCAGTCTTCACTTATCAGCAATTACTGTACATTAGTATGCCAAGAGCTATTCGAAGGGCAGCACAAACAAGTCCTCTGACAGAGCTTGTTGTCTCATTCTCTCTCACACTTTTTTTATCCTCTCTATAAAGTGTGCTGGAAAACACGGTTCATTAGCTTGTATTATTTTTTGGGTCAAACAGATGATTTAGATTTATTCTGGTTATAAACATTTGGATTTCTTTAACAGTGTTACATTAATGAACTTAGTGGTTTTTTCTAATTATGACTAATTGATAACACTACACTTAACACATTATTTTGGTACCCCTCTCTTTACAACACAGCTTCAACTATTTGCCTTTCATGATGAATACGGCAAAGTCTAGTAGCTGATATGCCTCTTTCCTATAAACTGTGTTTGGAAAGAAAACATAAGCTGAGAATTTGCTTCCCTCCCTAATAGAAAAAAACAGCCTTTGATGTTTTGGGCCTTACTCAATAATGTTAGATATTTACTGCCTGTGTCACTGTGGCACAATCCTGGTAAAGGATGAGCAGGGTAAGTGTCAGTAGTATTTGAGGCATGTTAGTGCAGACATGCTACATGCCATATTAGAGCTCCATTTTTTAGGGGTTGTAGAAAACATCTGTGGTAGTATTTGTTTCATGAAGGCTTTTCAGACCCCCAGCCGAGAAAAGAGGGATGTAATACTATACTTTTGGGAAAAAGAACCGTTTGAAGATGAAGGCTAAAATTCATAATTGGCCTCAGATCATATTTGTGATGAGGAAAGAATTGGGCAGAGATCCTTCCCTTATAGCAGAGCTGGCTCCCAACTATAAGTGTTAGGGTCCAGAGAGGTCAAGTTCATTACCATTCATTGATGTGGCTCTTTTGCTTTTGGGATCTCAGCAGGGGACACACATCCCACTCTTGCTGAGACTAGAGCTGGGTGATTTGGGCTGGGCAAGGTCTCTGTCAACTCCTCTGGTATTTGTGGAGGCTGAGAAAACATAAGTGGATTGAAGAGACGGACAAGTTGGATATCAAAATATTACCTTACACAGACTACCGGTTGATGTAAAAGATACATTATTGGGCTTTTCATTGAGGCACAACATACAATTCCCAGGAAATTACTAAACAGTTGCTTTTTATCTCCACTTCTAACTTGCACAAATATACACATCTTTTCTATATCTAATGCTTGTGCTCAACACCACAGACCCAAGAATCTTAACAAAATCACCATCATGTAGCTCACAAGAAAGAGAAGGTAAGCTGACTTGACAGACACACAACATACTGAACCTTCAGTTTTTTAAATGTAGATCACAAATGATATCAACCTAGGTATGCTGGGGCCACTAACGCAAACTAAAGTTACAGCCAATTTTCCCTTTTTCCTGTCAGGAAGGATGACCAATTTGGAACAAAAGCACAGGAGAGAAAAGAAAATGAAGAGTGTGTGTGTGTGGGTGTGTGTCTGGATGTGAGGGTGTGTGGGGGTGTGTGTAAGAGACTCCCAAACTCTCTAGTGCCTTTATAGAGCATTACAGCTCTCAGCAATTTACCCTTGGAAAAGGAGCTGTCAAGTAAATGCCTTCCTATTCACATCACATGGTACGTAAAGATCCTGAGCTGATCCATGCCTCATGATTGAGCAGACAGGTCTCTTCTCTTCAATCAGTGTCAATTAAAAACTGATTTTGTAGTACGGACAATCTGATGGTACTAAAATAAAATCTCCTAAACCCCCAGCAATGAAACGTTATCTACACGAAAGGAAGAAAGAGTACAAAAAGGATTTCAGACTCCTTTAAAATTGTTACAATTTTTTTTTCCTCCAGTAAGTAAATAGTCATTCTTTTTATTTTTGCTTTCATTAAGCATATTTTGAAGCATTATGACTCACTCTACCACAGTGGACTGGATTGTATCAGACTAGTTAGTTCTGAAGAAGTTAAAACGCCTTGTTGCTGGAGTGTGGAATAGAAGATAGTCAAAGTGAAATCAGGTTGAAATGTCATTCACCCTATTGAATCAAGTGCTAACGCAATACTGACAGTCAAATATCCTCTTCTATAACCTCTGAACTTTTTAGATTTTCATTTTGGGAAAGAGAACTGGAAAGATCTGTATCTTCTGGGTAGCACATATTCAGAGACATAGATGCTATTATGTGATGGTGTCTGTACAGAAATATAAGAGAGATTCTCTCACTTGCTTTGGCCAGGACACAGCTGTTAAGATTTATGTTGTTCCATTGTCCTTGGCCTAGTGAAAATGTAGTACAAGCCTGGCTAGTGGGAGTCAGATAGTTGTTCCCTAATGTAGTAGTTTCTTAATAACTTCACTGCATCAACCTATGAAGATTCCTTACATTTGTAACTCTCTGCTCTAGTTTTCTATTTCCATATTTTAAACTTTTATTCTGAGGTTCATTTAAACATGGAACAGTTACCTGAATTTACATAATCCCATCTTATCACATTTAAATTTCAAATTATTGATAATTAGTGAGTAAAAGAGGTAGACTTCCTCCCCCTAAAAAAATTAGAGAACCATGATTCCTGAAAAGCATCATGAACTTCAAAAGGAGAAAAAAAAAATCTCCTACTCCTTGTCTTGAGTATTTTAAAGACAAAATCAATACAGTTTCCCTCCAACTTAGAGTGTCAGTGCTGGAGGAGATGGAAATAGGTGTCCTGCTTTCAGTTACCAGAGACTTGTTCTCAGAGATAGTTCATTTGATATCATTATAAATTGAAAATGTGGAAGCAAGTTGCCTGCAATCTGTTGAGAAACAAAACAGGGGCAGATTTTTAAGAACACAGAGGTCTTTTCACCTTATGTGAAGATCAGGAAGAGCCTGTATGCTCAATGGCAGAGGTAAGGGAGGCAGAAATCATATTGTCCACCCATAGGCAGCACACCTGAGGGTTACAAACATAAAACATGAGCTGAGAGTTAAAAGTATGTTTGAATTTCAGTAAATACTCTGGCTCAGGAGGCTAAACAGTGGATAGTGGAAAGCACAATCCATTTGTTTTTCAGGAAACAGCCAGTCTGATTCATGGGATGAAGCCACCAGCAGTCAGTGCAGGAATTCATGCAGGAATTCAGAATGATGCTGAGAATCTGTGAAACAAGGAAATTTTAGCAATCGTGGGGAAATTTCTCCTGAGCTAAAAAAGCCTTTTGCATTTATTTCAGAAAAAAAAGTTGCTGAGAGATACACTGAATGAGAATTTAAATTTACTGAACAAATGCACCCAGAGGCACCTATCTGGCAACATCTCGTTGAATTCTGAAGGAAAGGAAGGTCATGCATCTGAGATGGATATGCTACTTTGCTTTGTGCTAAATGTGGCTGACCTTAGGCAGGGTGGATTGTGATTCAGAGTAAGAGTCTTCAGTTTCAGAAGGATTCTGACCACTGCAGATATCATTTAAATCCATACTCTTGCTGTCTTCACAAATCTGATGCCTTTGAAACTTGAAAAATCTTGCTCCTTATAGGTTAAAAATACAGACGACAAACAGAAATCTCATGGAACTAGTATGGTCAATAGAGTAAATAAAATTTAACAAGAAAAGAGAAATATCCAAATGGTAAGTAAACCATGAACCAACATGATTAAATAGTAAAAACTGAGGAAATAAAGTACCTTTGACAAGTCCTGTAATTCCAAGTGCCATATAAACCTTTAATTTTATTTAACGAATAACATGTAAATACAAAAATCTTTTATGTCATTGATGTAAGTCACTTTTATACTGCTTATATATAATTTTCTCTAGAAGACAGGAAATGTTAGCTCATTATGTCAGAAGTTATTCCACATTAAATCTCATAATAGATAACTCCAAATTTGATGCCTATATTACTTTAAAGAGCCTTTTGTACATTCCTCACTAAGGAAAAATGCATTTCTCACTTTAAAACAAATGTCTTTGAGGTATATATCACTATAATTAGAAGAATATATAAAACTGGAAATTTTGGAAGATGGCTGCTGATGTTGCAGCACTGCTGCCTGGTCAAGATGCACCACACAAAGCAATAATTTCTTTTCAGATGTTTAGAAGCCAGGCTCTTTCTCAAACTTCTCTTCCTTTCTGAACCATCATCAGTTCACTGCCTTGTTTCTAAATAAGCACCCACCAGCTTACACATTCAGATACACAGTCACAGATGGTTCAGAGACCAATCTGTAATTTACCATAAGAAAGCTGAGCTGATTTAATAATGATCACTACAAAATATAAGTACAACCCACACTGAGTGGATTAAGGAATGGTCAACTGACAGCCCTCAAAAGCATTTGTCAGTGAGGAAACAGTCACAGAACAAGGTTTTTTTTCTCATACCTATATGCAGGCTTTTCAATGCATCTCTGACAAATAAAAATGACTCCTGGTATTATTCAGGAATATTTCAAAGCTGAAACCTACACCTGAAGAAGGTCTAAGAGGGTAGAATTGAAACATTAAACCTAAATTATGATACAAACTCCTAATCTTGCTAGGCTTAAAGAAAATCTCACCCTGGAGCTTTCCAAGTGACATTTTAATTTTAAAATTTCCAAGATTTGAAAAATCTAACCTTTTCCAAAATGGCCCCTTTCTAACTACTCTAATACCTACTTTTTACTTCAGACTACTCAAGTCAGCACAGTTAAGACACACACAGCAGCTACAAAATGTAATTACTGCTACCCATTTATGCAAAACTGATTTAAAAATTGTTTAATTCTATATGCCAAAGTTGCTCAACACCATATGTAAAAGAAAAATTTGAACTTCTAATAATTTGGTATAATTAATACCTGAGAGATTTGTCTGATATAAGTCTATCTCAGTGATTACTTGTAGAATGACTTGTTTAGAGGTTTACTTTAAGTAAGGTGACTTAGCATTACATGCTGGGTTTTATTTTTGATAGCTGTGCAGTTCTGTTTCACTTGCTGTCCTAATTGGAATCAAGTAAATATGATTTCTCAGCCTTTTGGGGTTTAGTTTTGTTTTTTGTTTGTTTTTTTTTTTTTTAACTTCCAAAAGTCTCTCACACCTACATTGATAAAAGGTTGCAAAGCAATACTACCTAATTCCATGGTAGCAAAGCCTCAGATACATCTAATTTGTTTTCAGAGAAAATTTGCTTTATTTTCTTCTCCCTAAAGGACTAATGGTATCACACACAGACTAATTCTAGGAACATTTTGCTGTTTATTATACTATTGACCTTCAGAAATGGATGTTTGGTTTCATACAATTACTACACAGGGTTTTCTTTTTTCCTACAATTATACTGAAGTTTTATTTGAAGCATCTGAATGTAAGCCATTGATAGAACACATTCAATAAGGCTGTATCTATACCTTCCCATTTTTTATTTTTCTGTCCAGTATCTTCCTTAAATAAGGAAAGGTTAAACAGTTATTGATATGTGTTTGCATCTTTCACAGGAAAAAAACAGATGTATAATACATAATTTTTATCACAAAAATTGTTCAGGATGCAATAGAGACTTCAAAAGTTTGATTTACTGTTTATCATTAGCCTAAGGATCATAGGTACTTGTGATTTTCCTCAGAAATTCTGAAACTGCAGTTTCAGAACAACAGCATCTTGTCAGTGGGGAGGTTGTGTACACCAGCCAATTCCTCATCCACTGAATATTACATCTATCAAATCCATGTTCCTCCAAGTTGGAGATAAGGATGCCATGTGGGACCATAACAAAGGCCTTCTTACGGAAATCTAGGTAGTCTGTCTATCTTCCCTTGCCAACTGTTCCATCATAGAAGGCCATCAGTAAAGCTATGCTAGCTGCCTCGGATCATCTCCTTGTCTTTTATGTGGCTTAGTATATCTTCTAGGAGGATCTGCTCTTCCCAGGCACAGAGGTGAGGTTCACTGATGTTCCTTTCTTCCCTTTTTAAAAATAGAAGTGATGTTACCCTGTAGAGCATGATGTTTATTAAGCATTTCACAAATGCTTCCCCTAGAGCTGTTCTGTTCCATCAAGGACTACATATATCCTACCAAAACTGTTGCATACACTTTATATTGCATATATGTTACATTTTTACAGAATGATTGTAATGTCTGTCTTCAGATTCTATATAAAACAAAAATAATAGAGCAAAAGTTTATAACAAAGGCAAGATGGAAATAATTTGTAATTCACTGTGTTAAAAGCAGCACAGCCACCAATCCTATGAGCAAGTTCTTACTTTGTCCAGCATCTTGCAAATAGGTCACAGTTTTATACAGCTAAAGTAATCTTTGTTCTGTGCCTGAGGCTGAACTCTGATTGATGGGTTTAATGTCTTGTTCAAACTTGATGCCTACTACTTGGGAACTAGAAGCCTGAGATGGGACCAGAGCTGAAAGACTTTTGGCACGTTCTACTAGTTTCTTCAGAATTCAGTGAAGAAATCTATTTTCTGATCAGATTTCTTCTAATTTGAAATGGCAAAGTTTTTCCTTTATTGACAGAAATAACACTAATTGGTTTCAAAAGTTTTGACAGATACTTTTCAAGATTTCTTAACCTGTAGTAAATTGAAAAGGAGACAAGGGGAGCAATAAAATGCATCTTATTTTACACCTGGTTCAATATGTGATGAGAGGATTTAATGGTTTCCCTACACTTAAGAGCAGCCAATGTTTAGTTTTGGTGGCTGATCAGTGTTATTTATGCAAAAGAACTCTGCAACATGTGATGTTGCCATTCTTGCTGGCAGAGAGTAGAAAGCAGTCTAATCCTGTAAATCGCATTTGTCATTTATAGTAGTAGGATTATTCTGACCATACGTCAGACTTGAAATTGCTGTCCAAATCCTAGTTCTCTTTTGGCCCTGTTTTGGGGAATAGGATGTCTCTAGCCATTAGCAACAGTGAGCTACAGATGACTCTATGATTATTTCTAACTCACAAATGTTTCAGTGATGTATTTGGATACATGGTATTTCAGCTACCATAAGAGACAAGCAAAGGATAGAAATGAGAGGCTCTCAGCTTCAGACCAGGGAGTCACAAAGCTCTGAATTATTGTCTGCAATGCTATCAATATTGAGGCCTGCACTTTAATAACTTAAGCAGTGAATATGGCTCTATAAGCTTTGCTTCAGAGAAGTACAGTCAAGTCCCAGTCTAGGAATGGTTCACATTTGTCAGACTGAAATGTTTCTGCCAAGAATTTTTTTTTTTGTTTTGTTCACAGCAGCACCTAAGAAAAAGCGGTTGGGGTTCATTTCACTGAGGATGACAAACACAGATGATGATGTGTGCAGTGTCAAAACTCCAGTTACAATGAAGATCACATCACTCAGCACATCACTAGTGAAAAAAAACCCAGTATTTATTTCAGGGTGAAGTGAGCTGTTGCCCTTGCCTAGATCTCCATCTCTTACAAAGATACTTGGAGGCAGATAGCTAAGCTCAGATGCTTTAATCCTTCCCCTCCCAGTGTAACCTCATGAAACAGAGAGGAAACAGCTATAAAGAAATGTCCATGGAACAAAATTACTGCAAGCCAGTCTGATGTCTCTGAGACAAGCTGCTCTCAACAGCAATAAAACTGCAATCCTCATCACTGCCGAGTCAGTAGGCCTCGTCCGTAGCTCTAACCTTGGCAAGACGGACTCTGAGGAAGCAGTTCATTTTTCCTTCCTCTTGTTCTATTAAGACTGTCAAACCCAGCCCAACTGTGAAATTGCCCTTATGATTCAGAAAATTTTCATCAGAAAGAACCAAGATTTATTATGCTTATTTTGTTTTTGTTATCTTAAAAAATTGAAGAAACAATGAACCCCATCCAGCCCTGGCATGACTAAATGCAGCCCGCACAAAAATAGCTATTTGGCTTCTCTCTGCAATTCATAATGCATCCATTCATCAGTAGGCTTTGTCTGGTAGCCAGTTT